GACACATACTACCTGATGGATAAGTGTGCTTCAACATGCCAGCGGTGACACATGCACGTTTCCGGTGCCGAAGAACTAATTGTGCAAAAAAAAAAAATCATTTATGAAATAATTCCATATAGAGTTTAGTTACAAAATTAAAATAATAAAAGATTCAATTACATGATATGTTTCCTCCGTCCGTCTTTAAGGGTCTAATTTACCTTTTGCGTCATTTTACTTAATATTAAAAATATTATTGTATTTGTATAATTTTTTGTACAAATATTATTCTATTAAATATTATAAAACACTAAATAGAAGTATTTTTGTAATATATATATTTTTCATTTGTACTATATTTTAATGTAATAACTAATATTCAAATATCAACACGTAAAAAATAAACGAGACTTTTAGAATAAGACGACTGAAGCATATAATATGAGCCTATATGCAGACATCAATGATAGAAATACCAATTAGTTAGTATAAAGGTAACAACTATTTAATGTTTGTTTTTACATATACAAAAAAAAAAAAATTTCAATTTTGAGTTATTTCAATTTGTCCAACTTCTATATATTCGTTTTATTATTATTGTTTTTTAGTAAATTTTTTTTTTATATATTAATAAAAAAATACATTGATATTTTACATAATATTATTAAAAAATAAAGAGATTTAAAAGCAAAATTATTATTTTCATTATTTTATTATACTATTATTTATAAAATACTAATATAATGAAATCTATGTGAAAAAACACATAGTTATATTTACTAGGGATAAAGGGAATATATTTTCCACTGTGCACTTTCAGGTACCGATTGCGAATTTTCACGTTATAAAAAATCATATATACTCCTTTCGTCCCATAACAAAATATTCATTTTTTCATTTTAGTCCGTCCCATAACAAAGTATCTATTTTTTTTAGTAACTGTACTATCTATCTAACATTACAAATACCCTTACAACTTACAATATATTACACAAATGTTATTACTTTTATACTCCCTCCGTCCCTTAACAATCTATCCATTTTTTCATTTTGGTCCGTCCCATAACAAAGTATCAATTTTTTTTTTAGTAATTATACTATTTATCTAACCTTACAAATACCCTTTCAATTTATAATATATTATATAAATGTCATTACTTTTATATCATACAATATTAATAGGGTTAATTTAATCATTTTATCTTTATTTCTATTTTATCCCAATATAATATTAATATTTCTAAAACTTCGTATAAAAAATAAATGAATATATAGATATGGGACGGAGGGAGTATCACACATACTACTAATAAGGTTATTTTAGTCAATTCTACTTTATTCCCACTATATTATAATATAATACTAATATTTTTAAAACTACGTGTAAAAAACAAATGTATATCTAGTTATGGGACGGATAGATTATTACTATAAAATTTTTAAAATATATTATTATTTTTTCTGAGTTTATAGGACCAAACACAATTTGTTTTTTTTTTTTTTTTACCAAATATAAATAGTTATGATGGGTGGTGCCTTATTTGAAGATTTGATTTAGTTTTTATTATTTATATATATTTTTCTAAATATTAAATTAAATATTTAATTTTTTAGTTTGGATTTGATTTGAAAATATTTAATTTGATTGAGTTTGTTATTAAAATAAATATTTTTTATGAGATATTTTGTGAGAAAAACATAGAGTGTGTTTACTTCTCATTTTGGTTTTGAGTTTTAATGGTAAATAGTAAAATTACGAATTTGTTATTTTTTCAACAATAAAAAGTAAAATCCGAAAATAGAAAATTATCTTCGAATTTGATATAATTAGTGCCTGAGATTAGGAATTTCTAAACACTGTAGGATACAAAAATAAAATAGAAAAATAAAACTAAAGACTGGAAAAAAAATGGTGATCCCCAAAAGCAATTCACTTGAATTTGATGTCAATTGAAGATGACTGAATATAAAAAATCCACATCCTCAAATATTCATTCAAGAAAATGTTTAAGAACCGTCGCCTGGTTGGTTACAGCAACCGCCCACTACGAAACATTTTGAAGCGTCGTTTGGTCGGTTATGGCAACCATCTCGCCAACAGCATAACCCAACCGACCAATCAAGAGACTAATTGATCGCTAGACCAAACGAATCCTTGGCCGCCCCACCAAGCGACCACCATCTGGTCTTTTGTCCGACCTCGTATCGTCCGTCTCATTCTTCTTCGCCCGACCTCACTTGGTCCGACCTGCGTAATAACCGTCCTTCTTCACCCGACTTCCTCTTTCGACCGACCGCCGTATCAGCCGTCCTTCGCCCGACCTCAGTTGGTCCGACCGCGGGCCAACCGACTACGGACCATCCGACTGGACCAACCGACTGCAAACCATCCGACAACGAACCAACCGACCGGCTTTGTTTGGCTTATCTCCTTAGATGGACAACTGGTTCAACAGACTATCCTCTTGACAGACCTCCGCGTCTGCCGATACTTTTTCTTTGCCCGACCTTCGTCTTGATAAACCTCCGCGTCTACCGCTACTTCTGCTTTGCCCGATCTTATCACGTCCGATCTCCGTGCCCGACCTTGTCCTGTCTGACCTCCGTGTTTGACCTTATTACGTCCGATCTTCCGTGCCCGACCTTATCCTGTCCGACCGCGGACTTTCCGACCTGCTTATCCGACTGCGGACCAACCAACCGGATCAACCGACCGCGGACCAATCGACCTGAGTGCGTATTTTCTCATTTTCCGCCTGATTTCGTGTCCTAACTTCCTTTAAGATCCTGCTACCATTATTATTATTATTATTATTATTATTATTTGTGCGTAACATAATTAAAATAGTTATTTTTGCCATTTTTCTTTAATTTGTGCTACGATATAAGATTAATATGAAAAAAATAAGTGAGTAGATTACTATTGGGCCGAAAGAGTAGCATTTTTCTTTCTGTATTGTTTTTCATGTTCTTCTTGTCATTCGAAACGTTCTTCGTCGAAAGTCACTGATTTGGACAAATGATCCAATATTGGTTGACGAATCGATGAAGTCAACGTTCTTCGTCGTATGTCCGAGCCAGAGGAAGGATCAAAGTCCTCAAAGCCGTTGAGGAATTCGTCAAAGCCAAGGGAAGGTCTCTAAAGTTTCTCTCAAAGCTTCAAGATGTCATTGCGTTCTTCAACAAAACATCAACTAGGCCCTATTCATTTCAAAAGTCAAAGGGACACGCCGCCAAAAGTGTTATGGAGCATCAAATCTACCTCTTAAAGGATCAAAGCTCCAAAAGCTATTGAAGAGTCCATCAAAGCTAAGAAAGAGCATCCAAAGTTTATCCTAAAGCTTCGAGGTGTTCATCGCGTTCTTCACCAAAGCAATAACTCGGCCCTCTTCGATTCAGAAGTCAAAGGGACACGCCGCCAAAAGCGTTATGGAACACCAAATCCACCTCCTCAAAGATCAAAGTTTCTGATCGTCCAAAGAAGACATCAAATCCAAAGCCAATGATCAAACTGCCCTCACGGAGACCAAAGTCCTCCGAACGGCGGCAAAGCTAAACCAAAGATCAAAGCCACGGATCGTCCAAAGAATACATCAAATTCAAAGCCGACGATCGAATCGCCCACACGGAGACCGAAGCTCTTCAAAAGGCGGAAAAAGACAAACCAAATATCAAAACTGCAAATCGTCCAAAGAAGACATCAAATCCAAAGTTGAGGATTAAATTGTCCGCAAGGAGAACAAAGCCCTACAAAAGCGGCAAAACCAAAGCAAAGATCTAAGTCTAGGATCATCTAAAGAAGACATCAAATCCAAAGCCGATGATCAAATCGCCCACACGGAGACCAAAGTCCTCAAAAAGCGGCAAAGCAAAAACAAAGATCAAAGCCTCAGTCGTCTAAAGAAGATATCAAATCCAAAACCGATGATTAAATCGCCCACACGGAGACCGAAGCTCTCCAAAAAAAGGCGGAAAAGGCAAACCGAAGATCAAAGCCGTGGATCGTCTAAAGAAGACATCAAATCCAAAGCTAATGATCAAATCGCCTACACAGACACCATAACCCTTCAAAAGGCGGTAAAGCCAAATCAAAGATCAAAGCCACGGATTGTCCAAGGAGGACATCAAATCCAAAGTCGACGATCGAATCGCCCGCACGGAGACTAAAGCTTCTCTAAAGTCCCGCCAAAATCAAACTGAAGACCAAATCTCTTCGGATCAAAGAAGCCATAGAAAATCAAATTGGAAAATAAATCAACCCGGGAGGAGAATCAAAGGACTAGAGAATATGACCCACTTTAAATTCAAATCAAATATAATTTATACAAATTTTGTGTTTATTAAAAATAACACAATTTTTTGTCCACACGTACTATCTACCTAACATTACAAATACCCTTACATCATACAATATATTATATAAATATTATTACTTTTATATCACATAATACTAATAAAATTATTTTAATTATTTTAATTTTATTGTATAAATATAATATTAATATACTTTTAACCTACATGAAAAAAAACAAATGAAGGTAAGAGATTAACAAATTAGCAGCACGGTCCGACTTCAATATGAAACAGCGAGAATGAGAATGGCATTGTAAAAAGGTCCAAGGTCAAAGCTCTAATACAATTAATACATATATAAATATTTATGTATGTATGTATGTATGTCGAACGAAGAAGAGGAAGAAGGGAGTGGGTGAAATTAGGGGGCGCGTGAAGCACAACCGACTCATTAATTACCTCGCCGTCTGATGATAATAGCGGTAGGGTTTACGGCAATTCAAGATCGACAGATTATTGATTTCCCCAATTACACACTTATTAAAATTAAATACCAATCTGCTTTCTTCCTTCCGTCTTCCCCAGCAACTGCACTTATCTTCGCTTCTTCTTGTTTTATTATTATTATATTATTATTATTATCAATTAATTTTTGCTTTCCCCTTTTCGTGTTGATAATAAATGATGGAAGGTACGACTCTATGTATGTATATGTGTATTTTACAAGCGGCACCAAATTCTTTCTATTTTATTTTTATAGTTTTTCTTATGAAAAAATAAATATTAATTCTATTGTTAAGCCAATGTGTGTGTCAATTTGCCTCATCTTAGAAATTTTTTCTTGTGTTTGATTAATAATGAAATAAAAAATTGATTCTTGTTAGAAAAGGGTTTCCTTTCTTTCTTCCTCTTCATCTTCATTCTTCATCCACCTTTTCCTTGTGCAGCAGCAGAAAATTCTGTAATTAGAAGGAATCTTGTATGGTGGGTTGTATTTTCTTGAAGTCTTCAACTATATATATATATATATATATATGTTTTTTCCGCTCTAAACTTATGGGCTGCTCTGCCCATGGTTTTATGGTTATTCCTTTTTATTTTTTTGGGTGTAAAAATTCAATAATTATTGTGATTATTAATATAGTTGGTCGATGCAAGGAAATAAACTCAATTCCAACCACTTTATATTAATTTTTTTTGTCAACTTTTTTTCCATCTCAAGCATCAAATCTTGTTGGGATTAGGGTCTTCCATGGTTGATTTGGTTATCTAAATTGGGGTTCTGTGATTGTATTGTCCTTAAGTGTTTTGGGCTAAAGCTTTAATTGGATGGGTTGTTGTTCTTGGCTGGATGGTGGTTGAATTAGGGTTAGGGTTAGATCTGTGGAATTCAGCCCCTTTTTCTGACTGTTTATTCTCATTGATCCTTACATGATCAGTAAATTTCGATTGTTGCTTCTGTAGAGTGTTTCTTTTCTGGAGAATCTGGTGGAAAGGAAAGGATTATTGCTCTGTAAGGAGCTTTGAAGAACTTATCATAGGATATGTAAGTTTTGATTCATATGTTGTTTTCTGATCTAAATTTTCTGCTGTTGTTGATGTCCTTCTTCCTTTGCCATCTGCTAATTGTCAATGTGCTATCATAACCTTAATGCTTATCTGTTCTTCACTGTAATGGTGATTTAATTTCATGTGTTGTCTGGCTTGTTTTAGTTTGTGGATCCTAATGCTTTTGGAATGCATATTAATCTAAGAACAGTCGAATCAAGAAGAAAAAGTTAAGGGGATTGTAGCCTTCTTTGCCTGTTTGAAATTACAAGTGATATAGATGCATTATTCGTCTAGATAAATTTCTTTCGTAGTTCAATAATCCATTGCCTCTATGGGCTATGCCTTCTAAGATTAGTTCATTCATCTTGTGCCGCGATCTTTCAATTAATATCTCTTCTAGCTTATTGTAGTAGTCTGTTATTGTAATTTTAATTTTGCCCTCGAAATGGGATATTTGGATCTGTTCCTTATCCATTCGGAGTTAATTGTTTATGGGCACCCTTAATCACTACGATTTAAATTTGGAAAGTATTTTGAGCTTACTGTAGTGTTCTTGAACAAGAATGTTTATTTATTTGTTACGCTTTATAATCCTTTTTGTTTTTCAGTGGCAATGGGCACACAACTTGCCGGATTTTGTGTTGAAGACGAAAACATGGAAATGCCTTCAATTCCCCCTGGTTTTGAGTCGCTGGCGCCCTTCACGCTGAAAAGAGCCGACTCTAATCAAGTTAATGATTACTTGGGGACAGCTAATGCTTCTGAAGAACAAAGTGTTCATTTGGAATCGGATTACGGATTAAGTGACAGCTTGCAAAAAAGTAAGCCTCTTAGGCGTAGGCCGTGGGTAAAGTACCAGTTTGATAGCAGTTCAGGGGATGAATCTGACTCTGAGCAGGTTCATAGTCTTGTCATTTATTTGTTAACAACTTTAGGGCATTTTCTTTTCACCAGTGCTAAATTTAATCCTTGTTTTTACAGAATATGTTTTCGAAGAATCGGCTGCCAAAAGGTGTAGTTCGCGGGTGTGAAACTTGCAAGAACTGCCAAAAGGTCTGTTTGTCTTATTAAACAAGTCCTACGTTTGGACTTTTGTTCTAAATTAGTTCCATCAAGGCAGTAGCCGAAGTTTTTATTTTCCGATCAACCTTTTAACGTTTTCCATGAAAAAATTGGGACAGGTAACTGCCAAATGGCGCCCAAGGGAAGCTCGAAAGCCCAATCTTGAGGAAGCTCCAGTCTTTTATCCTTCTGAAGAGGTCCCTATCGCCCCTCGACTTTGATTCAGTTTGATTTTATAGTTTTGAAGAGTAATCTAATCACAATGTTATTGATCTTATTCATTTGTTTTCCTTTCTCTCTTTAATGAATTTTGTGCATAAAGGAGTTTGAAGATACATTGAAATACATTTCGAGCATTCGTTCAAAAGCAGAATTATATGGAATCTGCCGCATAGTTCCGCCTCCTTCTTGGAAGCCGCCTTGTCCTCTGAAGGAACACGATGCATGGGATAAATCAAAATTTACTACTCGCGTTCAACGAATTGACAAGCTTCAAAATCGTCATTCCATGAGGAAAATACTGCAAATCAATACCGAGAAGAGGAGGAAAAAGAAGAGGTGCCTGAAAAACAGAGGCGATCATGGTAATGGAGTTCAGGAAATGAAAACTGCCGGAGGAGTTGAGCTTTATGAGGCTGATAAATTCGGGTTTGAACCCGGCCCGGATTTCACCTTAGAGATGTTTCAGAAGTATGCTGACGATTTCAAGAACCAGTACTTCAGGAAAAATGACAGTGACGAGGTGTGGAAGCCTTCCATAGAGGAAATCGAGGGAGAGTATTGGCGAATGGTGGAGAAACCAACAGAAGAAATCGAAGTAAAGTTCTATACTGATTGCATTCGACTTTTTTCTTGTTTTTAGATGATTTCCTATCGTTTGAGGTTTTGTTTGTTTGTTTTTAGGTGCTCTACGGAGCTGACCTGGAGACGGGATCATTTGGCAGTGGATTCCCGAAAAATTCACATCAGGTTGCTTCTGCAGACGATGCCAAGTATGTTCAATCAGGGTGGAACTTGAACAACTTCCCTAGACTTCCGGGCTCCGTTCTTTCATTTGAAAGCAGTGATATATCAGGTGTTCTTGTTCCTTGGCTTTATGTTGGAATGTGCTTTTCTTCATTTTGTTGGGTAAGGAAAGAATCCTTTTCATAAATCTTAAATTAAGTTGCCACACAATTAATTCCATTTCTGGGGTTTGAATGTTTCTCAGAATTATCCTTCGAAAATTTGTTTTGCTTTGTGATAATGCTGCGCATTGTTTGCTTTTGCTCGATCCACAGCTTGAGTTTTTAATTGTGTGTTTAAACATGGCATTTCAAAGATTAAATGCTCAGATTTCTCCTGTATTTAAAAGCTTTCTGCACTAATTGAATTTAAATCAACACAGAATGTTTCTTTGTTCTTGCTATCTGGATTCATTCTAAACCGTGCCTCTAATTTTCTGTTTTCATTTTGCTTGTGATTTTAATCGGTAACAGCATGTTGAGGATCATCACCTGTACTCCTTGAATTTCATGCATTGGGGAGCTCCAAAAATGTGGTACGGAATTCCAGGATCAGATGCCTTAAAGCTTGAGGCGGCGATGAGAAAACACCTTCCGGACCTCTTCGAAGAACAACCTGACTTGCTTCATAAGCTGGTAATATTTAAGGCTACAATACAAAAATCGATGAAAAAAGAAGTATTGTCAAACTGCAGGATCTATAATGAAAAATTCACATCGGCGTTCTTGTCAATTCAATCTTCAGTTGCTAAGTTTACTGCATCTCTTACACAATGTGCAGGTCACACAGATTTCGCCATCGATTTTACAGTACGAGGGAGTACCTGTTTATCGCTGCGTTCAAAATCCCGGGGAGTTTGTCCTGACATTCCCTCGAGCATACCATGCTGGATTCAATTGCGGCTTTAACTGCGCTGAGGCCGTCAATGTTGCTCCCGTCGACTGGTTACCACACGGACAAAATGCCATCGAACTTTATCGTGAGCAAGGCAGACAAACGTCGATTTCCCATGACAAACTCCTGCTCGGCGCTGCTAGAGAAGCCGTAAAAGCCAATTGGGAATATAATCTCTTGAGAAAGTACACCACAAATAATTTGAGATGGAAGGAAGTCTGCGGAAAAGACGGGATTCTATCAAAGGCGCTCAAGGTACACTCTTTATCGAGTTCTTTTCGACCCCCTTTTGCGCACCCGCTTAATTAATTTCGTATAAACTGAGATGAATATTTGTTTAGAATCGTGTCGAGCTGGAGCGAATGCGACGGGAAATGCTCTGCAAATCGTCGCAGGCGCTGAAAATGGAGAGCTCTTTCGACGCCAACAGCGAGCGGGAATGCAGCGTGTGTCTTTTCGATCTGCATCTATCGGCTGCCGGCTGTCATCACTGTTCGCCGGATAAGTACGCGTGCTTGAACCACGCAAGGCAGCTGTGTTCTTGCTCGTGGGGCGCCAAATTTTTTCTTTTCCGCTACGATATCGGCGAGCTGAACATATTAGTCGAAGCTTTGGAGGGGAAGCTGAGCGCCGTGTACCGATGGGCTAGGCTTGATCTCGGGCTCGCTCTGAGTTCGTATGTTTCGAAAGAGAAACAAGCTCCTGGGCCCGTCGTTAAGCCCGTGGGCTCGAAAGAAATCGCTTTAGTGCCGGGAAAAGATCGAGCAGATGGAAATTCGGGAAAGTATAGTCATTCTCAAAATCAAAAGGCACCTGTGGTGGTGTTGGCTCTTGAAAATGTGAAGATGACGTCGAATACGAGCTCGTGTTCGATCAAAGTTGATTCGTCAAAGGATCGAACGCTGTCGTATACGGAGTCTCCGGAGAATTCAGCCTTGGTAAAATTCGAGAGCAAAGATGTCATCCTACTGAGCGACGATGAAGCTAATGCGAGCAGCAATTTAGTTTCTACGAAGATTGTCGTCGACCCTTCCTCGGAGCTCGAAAGGCCCCCGAATTCTGTGCGCGTAAAAGTTGAAGATCTTTCCGAGTCCGGTGGTCCTTTCGGTAAATTGGTTCCCGGCTGTGTCGACGTAAATCTTGACGAGGTTAAGCTAAAAATCGAAGACGGTAGTCGAGAGTTGGATCTTGAATCGAGATCGATGGACAACGTTCCAGCTGCTCCGACGTCGTCTAGCCATCTGAATAATTTAGACAGGTACTACCGACAGAAGGGCCCTCGGATCGCGAAAGTCGTCCGAAGAATCAACTGCAACATCGAAACGTTGGACTTCGGAGTTGTACACGGCGGCAAGTTATGGTCCGACAGTCGAGCTATATACCCGAAGGGTAAGTAATATCTGCCGTTTTTATTCGATAAAATAGAATCTAGAATCGAGCTTGATGATTTACGTCGGATGCAGGATTCAGAAGCAGAGTTCGATACATCGATGTCCTCGACCCAACAAACATGTGCTATTACGTTTCCGAGATTCTTGATGCTGGACGCGACGGCCCTTTATTTATGGTAATACAATTTTCCATGTCCTTTCGTTTCGGTGTCTTTACATGATTAACCTAAACGACCCTCGACGATATGTTTTGTCCTAAGGTTTCCGTCGAGCACTGTCCTAGCGAAGTATTTATCCACACGTCGGCTACCCGATGTTGGGAAATGGTTCGGGAGAGAGTGAACAACGAAATCGCAAAGCAACACAAATTAGGGAAGGGGAAGCTCCCGCCGTTGCAGCCTCCCGGGAGTTTGGACGGCTTGGAAATGTTCGGATTTTCTTCGCCAGCAATCGTTCAGGCAAGTCTTGTTTAAAAACGAAAAAACAAAACTCCGATTCTTCTTACATCGGTGTCCACAGACAGATGTTACTTTTGTCGAACAGGTGATTCAGGCGATGGATCCGAATCGAATCTGCACAGAATACTGGAAGCCGCGGCCGCTAATGAAAATTCCCGAACAGCCTAAAGCTGCGCATGTAAATTTGAAATGCGATGCGGCAAGCGATCAAGAAGTCGGGAAAAGTGACGCGAGGATCGGAGGGATGCTCGACAGCCTGTTTAAGAAGGCGAGTCGAGAGGAACTTGGTACACTGTACAGCCTTATATACAGCGGCAAGAACTCGACTCGAGATGAAAGCTTATTGACGCGGCTTCTTAAAGAAAAGATTAACGAGCGCCCGGGATAGATAAGATCGCAAGATCGACTAGTTCTTTCGTTCTTTTTTTGTAAACTTTTGTATTGAATTTGTATATGCAGAGCTTCATTGTTAGGACTCCTGCAATTCTTGCTATTCCGATGGTCCGAAAATCCGATCTGAACCAACTGCGGCGCGGAGAAATTCGTTTTTTTTGATATAATGTTGTAGCAGGATTGAGGATTCATCTAATGTATTTTTGAGTATTTTGCTATTGACATTCTTATTGAATACTGATTAAAATAAGTTAGTACTTAAAATGTTCTGTATGTTTAGTAATCCCTAAAATTCAGCACAAAAGATATTGCATGGTATGTAATATATTTCCTTCATCCCAGAACTATAGTGGGTAAAAATTACGGGTAAAATATATTTTTGCCTTTGTGAGTGTCTCAGTGTAAGAAGGAGTGGCAATTGTGTAATAAAAATGAAAAAATAAAGATAGTTTTACAGTGATATGATTATTTATGAAAATGAGACTATTGTTTTGGGACGAGACTAATAAAAATGGTAAATAGGGCTATTGTATTGAGACGGAAGGAGTATTATTTATTTATTTATGTTATGATGAAGGTTCTCTTCTGCTTACCAATCCGAGGACAACTAGATGCTGAACCGCAACATGGGAAATGTTAGTATAATATAATACAAATACATCGTATACTAACATAAATTAATTAATTACACAAAATAGCTGAAATGAAAACACCTAAGTGAAAACCTAAGCATGAATTAAGCTACAGAGAAAGTAATAAACAAACTAGAAGGAGTTAACTAAATAAGAAAAAAAGATAATTGAAATCAATTTCAAACCAATATTCTTTTAACATTGAATTATTTTCTACGAAGAAACTACCTTGGTGGTCAATACTATCATAAGTATGGCTCTATGGTCTTTTAGCATCAAATCATTTTCCACGAAGCCGCTACATTGATCATACTTTGAAGAGTTTTTTTACCTTCTCAAATGCTATGAATTTGTGGTTTTATAGTCAACTTTTAGACTGCACGATAGGCTGAGTAGAAAAAAAAAAAAATCCCTCTAAATATTACGTTTTCAAGCATCAATCTCTTACTCCAAGTAATTAATTAAAACCAATACAATAATTCTCATAATGAATATTTTTTTGAATAAATGCACAGTGTAAAAAAAATAAAAAAAAAAAAAATTCAAACATAACCCTAAATTCTTTGGCATAGCACCAAGCATTCTCAAATCACAAGTGATTATTTTAATGAATATTTTTAAGTTTGTTCTTCGATCTCTTAGATAACTTCATTCTCATTAATCTTGATTTTATGTTCCTAATCTTCACTCTTCTTATCCGACAAAAGTACGTAGTCTTCAATGCCACAAAATACAACAAATAATACATTAGGACAATCATTGACATAATTCTCTTTCTTATGACACTTAAAAAAGCATGTATCATCTCTTGTTTTGTTTGATGGATCATTCTTATTGGCTATCATTTTTCTTCATCAAACTTAATTACCTTAAGTGGTTCATTTTTTGTTGTATGTTGCTTATTCACTTTGAGCTATGATTTTTCAGTCCCGTATTACCCAAATATTTGTTGAAATTTAGTGATAATAAATCTTGGTTGCAAATTGGACAAGCTCGTAATATCATAATATCATGCTTTAGCCTTTTAAAAAATTGATACATTATGACTTCATCATCTTCTTTAAGCTTAGTCTTCATCATTAGTATCTTTATTTTCTTGTAGTATCTACAACAATTTTGCTGTCTTGCACTTAAAATTGAATTTTGCGAAGGAGGTCCATCCGATAATACGAGACACCAAATCTTGCGTGCATTTCTTTAGTAAGAGCTACCTATGTTTCAATTGTACATCTTGGGGTTTGCAACATCAATTTGCACATTTTCCCACAAAATAAAAGCATTCTCATTAAACTCCAAAATAACAAGTTGAATACTTTTGTGCTCCGAATAATTATGACATGCAGGTAGACATAAATTTTGCTTTTTTTTCAACAAAAAAACATTGACGAAAAATAAATTTAACAGACATATACCAACATGCATAATTAAAAATTTCAAAATTAGGAGACATCTAAGTATAATTTGAGTTGGATATATTTGGAGAACTATACCTTGATGTCATATTATATTTTTGTAGAACTTTAGAGTTGTATGTTATTAATAATAAAATCATGAGCCTATGCACCTGGATAAATGTGACTCTAATATCATATATATGTTTCTAATATTCAGAATTGTATATTATTAGTAAAGAAATAAGAGCTTGCAAATAGATGTGATACAAATTGAATGGACTCAAAATAATAACTATATAATCTAATTAAATATAATCAAATAATAACAACCTAATTTAAAGAATCATAATATAATATAGAAAATCTTGTAATATCCACTTCAATCAGCGTTATAACAACCAACTTCAATTTGTCAAGATAAATTGAAGATGATGTAGCTAGACTCATCCATTAAGTCGGAGTCAAAAATAGGATTTTTGATTGAATTGAGTTAGAAAAAACTTAACGTAGTTAGGGTGTGTTTGTTTGAGGGTTTGGATTTTGGGTTGGGATTTGAATAGTAAAAATTTTGAATTTGAATAGTTGTATGATGTGATATAAATAAGAATTGCTGTGATGTTTTGAATGTAAAATTGATTTTTAGTATAATATAAAAAATGAAAAATAAATGTTTGATTTGATATTTTTGGAGGGAAAATTTTGTGGGAATAGTAGAAATCCCACAAAATCCCCCAAACAAACAGACCCTTAGAGTACTCTCAACAGAGTTAGAGCTGAAAGTATGATTTTCATTTGAGTTAAAATTAAAAATTGGGCTCTCAATGGACTTAGAATCGGAAATAGAACTCTCAACGCATTACAATCAGAAATAGAGCTCCCAATACTGTTAGAGTCAACAACATTGTTCTTAATAAATTAAGGACAATATTGAATGTCGAACATACACTTCATTGAAGAAAATTGACGAAAAATAAATTTGACAAGCAAACACGTGCATGCATAGTTGAGAAGCCAAAAATTGGAAGACTTTTAAGTACATTCTAGATTAGATATACCAGTATGCTGATCCTTAACCTGCACACCAGAATAAAAGAAAGTAATTATAATTTTTTAGTTAATTAGTTGGCCAATTGAATATAAGATTCAAGGTTAGGGAAAAATACAATAATATTCAGAGAATATGTAGAGAATAAAGATACAAATTTAAAGTTAGTGATATCTATGTAACTCCCACTAATAATGTGTACAGACGGTGAAGATATAGTAGTTAAAGACCAAATATTGGTGTAGTACAGTAGCCAAAATCGAAATGTAACTGAGAGCTATTTCAAAGTGGTTGCCGTGACAGAAGATGTATTGGAAACAATAACTTGATGCAAGAAGAAAGTCATGAGATTATGAAGTATTGCAGATACACGTTGATTACAATGATAAAGTGGCTAAATATTTCGAACATTCTAAGAGATCCCATAGCTAGGTCGAGGTAGTCAAACAACACAATTTTGAATAAAACAACCTCAACAATGATAGTAACAATACTCCACCAACATATTCAATGTTTAGAGTTGATCAAATAAAACAACATTTGTGAATTGTATTGTCTTGTATATATTCACTTTGTACAAATAATCAAACTCAAATCAAAAATCAAATTTTGATTAGATTCGACAACCAATAGATAATTGAAGAATGTGTTTGTTTGAGCGATTTGTTTGATTTCCACTATTCATCTTATTTTTTCCCCCCAAAAACATCAAATCAAACACCTATTTTTCATTTTTTATATTATACTAAAAATTAATTTTACATTCAAAACATCACATCAACACCTATTTATATCACATCATACAACTATTAAAATTCAAAATTTTTACTATTCAAATCCCAACTCAAAATCCAAACCCTCAAATAAACACACCCGAAATAGAATGGAAAAGACCAATAAATAAATAAATAAGTAAAAATCCTTGAATGGTAAAACAAATTATACCATCAAATATGAAATAATCTTTCAAAATCATCATCGAAACATCTTTTGTGTTGGCCATTAGATGCACCCTCATGTGCTAGAGAAACTTTCCAACAACATCAACTTTCACGCGTGTATATGGGTGCTAATGAACTTAGGTAGATGATCGAAAATAGAAACTACGATGGAAAATGGTTGTCGATCTTGCAGGGAAAAACTATTCTGTTAAACATGAGAATTTGTATAAATTAGATACTCCCCCATCCCAATCAAAGTATTATTTTTCCCATTTTCGTCTATCTCATTTTAAAGTATTTATTTCATATTTTTAAAAAAGTAATCATACATTAATACTAAAACACCTTTAATTTTTACTTAAATTATAAACATATGATACAGTTATACAGTAAAATTATTTTATACATAAACTCAAATAACAAAAATATAAAAACTCTTACACAATAATACATTGTTAATAATAACATAGCAAAATAAATAAATAAACTTAAAATAAAATAACATAACACAATATATATATCTCAACAATAACTAAAAAAATTTAAATTTGCAAAGATAATATGTTAAAAAAACAACTCAACCACTTAAAACTTCGCACTCTCAACAAACCGAGGGCCAACTCAGGGCGCTGTGTTGGTTGATTTGTCTAACCGACGACAAATCTTAAGCTATTTTTTGGCGTTGCTACAGTGCAATGCAATGTCAATTTTGATGTTGTACGAAAAAATTAAATATTTAAAGAATAATAGTAAAAAATAAAATTATAATTAAAGTAAAATTATCGTAACAATCATATATTTAAAATTAAAATTACATAAATGAAGTTGACGAGGAGCTCAGCTAATTAGTTTGAGTGCTCAGTGTTTGATGAAATATAAAAGCACATAGTAGGGCATACCCAGAGTGCCAGGTGGGCAAATCCTATCTAGGAGAGATTTCGTGGTGGTAATAAACAATTGGAAAAACGTTGAAAAAGTGGTCCAAATTCTGCGTCGCCAAACACGGCCCATCTCATTCTCCTTCCCTCATCAATCCCTACAATTCTTACCCACAAAACAAATTTTGCATTCCTATTCCTTGCATTGTATATTGCATGTGACTGTGTGAGAGATTAGACAATTATTTCACTGGACGATTGTGCCCCTGGCTCACCTCTCTCACTGGTCTGGTCTGGTCTGGTCAGGTCAGATCTGGTCGGGTCACCAGCACCAGCTGAGCCCGTCAAATAAAACGAGTCGAGGAGAGGTTTTGGCACTGTAATTGCGTAAAAGAGTTGGTTGGGTTGTTGGTTCTCCCAAACCCACAAGACAAAAAGGTTTTGTATATATAAAAACCTCTTCTCTTTCTCCAATTTTGCTTCACGTCCACAAATTCCAATTTCAATTTACTTTCCCGATAATTGATGCAGGAGTTGTCTGCTTGCGTGACGTAAATTTGAATGCTTTGTAGAGTTTTCTGGTTGGGAGCGCCAGGGGGAAGAGAAGAAACGGTGGATGCACTCAATTCTCGTCGGTGATTCAGATCAAGGGGTTGGTAAGCCTTTTTGTTAAGTTGCAAGTGTTCTCGACTCTGTTTTCGCCTTCAATTCTTCGTCTCTACTCCTCTGGATTCGAATTTTTTTTGTATCTAGGTTTTGTTCATCGGGGTTTGGTAATCTTAGGGTTTTGACTTTTTTGTTCTTACCTCTTCCTGTGGATTGATTTGTTTTGCATGTGTAAATTCGTGTTGATCCTGCGGAGATCTGATCGAATTTCTCAAAACTGATGCATTTTTATTATCTATTTCGGGCTCAATTCCTGTATCTTGGAGCGAGAAGCTTTAGTTTAATCTGGAAAGAAAATACTTTCATTTTGCAGCCAGCAGCTGAATTTTATTTTGATGTTCGTTTGATTTGTTGATCTGCAATCTTTCTTTAAGAGAAAATGTTTTGATTTATTTTCGTTCTATTTTATTTATAATTTGAAGTTCTCTTGATACAATCGACCAAAATCTTAGGATCCCATGGTTGGGTTCGAGAAGTTATTTTTTCATCAATATTCAATTGGTAAAGTTCTATGCTAAAATTTGTCGTCTTTTACTTGTCATGACTGTTCTACTTTGTTTAGATCTGAGTTTTGATCGGGTGGAGTTTCAATTTGTATTTGCAAATGGAAACGATGAATAAATTTTCGATTCTGGAAACACAATCTGTTGAAGATTGAAGAAAACCACAGAACATAAAGTTCTTTCTCCATTTGCTTGAGTAGCTGTGTTGCTCTAAAATTTCGTAAACTGATAGAAGCAATCATGAAAGTTGCAGGCTGAGAACGATTTCGAACATTTCATAACTGTAATTGAAGATCTTGGATTGGCATGCTTCCTAAGTTATGGTGTCAAAGAAGAGGTTGGATTATGGATTCAATGGCTTCCGAGCCCCCATTATTCCTCGAGCTCCAAGATCGATTCGGGTAAACACACATTTTGAATTGTTTGCTTCTTCACTATTGTTAGCAAGGCCTCATTTTTTCATTTTTATTTTCTTTATCAGAGGAGACGATCATGCAGGAATAATCCAGTCGAAGATAGCAAACTCTGTGCTTTCGAATTACTTGCTGCAGTAGCCGATAAGTTATTACAGGAGAGTGAAGGGTCGGCATCTAGTAATGTAGCTGAAGGGAAAGCGCCGCAGGCGATTGGCTTAGATGGAAATGAGAAGAAAACGTTTGTTGACCGAGGAAGTTGTGCCGAGAGTTCATTTGTTCCAGAAGCTTCCATTCAAGAGCTTAATCTCCTGTCGAGCTTCAAGGGGTTTCCGCAAACTGAAAATGATTCAGTCGTGGATCAGACTTCTGTACATTCGAGCTCTGATGTAAAAGTAGAAATCGACGAGGTTAAGAAGGGGAATGGATGTAAAATAGGATATTCCAACTGCATTGGCGACAGCTTCGACTCTAAAGTAGAGAGCGGACAAGAACTGCGATTGGAGGATGAGAAAGAACCGACGGATGACGCTAACAAGCCGCTTGTAAAGGACGCTATTGACGAATTTGTGAATACTAATACTCTAATTAACTCAGATTGTAGTGTACAGTTGCCCTTGTACAGGGATCCGATTCCTGATGCTGCTTTAATCGGAAAGCGCTGGAATAATGTAAAAATAGGAGTTAGAGATGATGACGAAAAATATTTAGGGCTCAACAGAATGAGCGCCAAGATTTGGCCATTTAGGCCTCAGCCACGCGTCGGCCATCGTAGGATAAGGAATATGCTGACGTCGAAATACAGGAAAGTTGCGCCAAAGCTGAAGGGCTGGGAACTTTATAACACTCGTGAGTTGTGGTTGTACGGTTACAAGATTGTCTGGTATTTGGTTTTTTGGTTATTACACATGACGCCCGCTTATTATCCTTTCTTGACGTTTGTTTTCAGGTGAGAAAATGAAGTCTTTTTACCGATATAGGAAGAGAATTTATATGCGAGAGAGATTTCAACCGGCGCCCATCAAGAAACGGAAGCTGACCGACCACAGCTTTGCAGTTGGTTACGATCAAGAAACCAGCTCTGATAGCATCTCGAAGTTGCCCGAAAAGGGTCTGGGGACAGACAAAAGTAACCCGTCTCAAAACTTCGAAAGAGGTCTGCTGTTAAGGTTGTAAAATTTCAGGTTTTGTCGTTAGCCTTGTTTCTAAATGTTCCTTTTTTATTTTGTTCTAACTGCAGGTAATGTGTCAGCGACGGCTAAAGGTCAGCAAAAAGCCAGTACTAATCATGGTACCTGAATTTTCGTTGCCGAATGAAAATTTTCCTTTTATTTTTCTCCTTTTTCCATAAGGAGATGGTTTTACAGTTGTTTGATCTTATTTATCTCTGGTTGTCAGTGAAATTTAGCATCAAGTCCTTCAAGGTGCCGGAACTTTACGTTGAGGTCCCTGAGAATGCAAGTGTTGGCTCTCTGAAGGTTTGTAATTGTTCGCTCGTCAAATGTATGATTTGAAAGCTAGGAGCTATTCTTTAATATATCAAAAAAATATCGTCGTTGAATTTTTTTGCTGTTTGGTTTCAGAGAACTGTGATGGAGGCTGTTTCTGCTATTCTCGGAAGTGGAATTAGAATCGGCGTCGTTCTTCAAGGGAAAAAGGTTCGAGACGATAATAGAACGTTAAAACAGGCCGGGATTTCTCAGAGCAGCAATCTCGACACTCTTGGTTTTACACTAGAGCCAAGTTTTACACATTTCGCCCAATCGACAACCCCTAAAAAACACTCACCGTCGTCTCCACGTGCCGCAGATCAAGAGTTCCCAACGTACGATCCATATTTATTTTAGTCGTATAACAATCATTAGGCCAAGAAACATTGTAATTAATATTGTCGACGCTGTTGTTGTGCATTCTTCAGGTCCCCTGCCACTTTGATGAACGATTCGGGGATCTCGAACGCACCCGTCGACCCCTGCCCTACCGCCGAGATCAACAATGTTGCGGAAAACAATGGATTCATGTACTCCCCGGAGACTCCCGAGAACGAATTCATCGACGCATATGGTTCCGAATCCAAGGCAATTGTTCCCGTGTCTCTGCTTAGTGCAGATGCTCTCGCGGTCGTTCCACTAAACTCAAAACCCAAAAGGAGCGAAGTTTCGCAGCGTAGAACACGGAGACCATTCTCGGTTGCGGAAGTGGAGGCTCTTGTGGAAGCAGTTGAGAAACTCGGAACTGGAAGGTAACAAACAACATACCCCAACTGAAAATTCGCCCGACCACGACATTTGAATACGCTAATTTACATTTTCTCCTTTGAGCAGATGGCGAGATGTTAAAATCGGCGCTTTTGAGAATGCGGATCACAGAACCTACGTCGACTTAAAGGTATAATTCCTCCGCTCCAATTCCAACAGGGCAAAATTGCCCATAACTTCGAAACTCAACGTAAATCTCTTTTTATTTTAAAAATTGCATGGCGTCCCCTTATACTTTAAAAAACATAACCCCTTTGTGGTTTTGAAACTCTGTCTAAATCTTCACTTTACGTTACAAATTGCATGGCGCCTCTTTATACTTTAAAAAAACATTGCATGAAATCCCTTTGTAGTTTGGAACTCTGTGTTACGTTAAAAATTGTATAGCGCCTTGTTATATTTTAAAAAACATTGCATAAAACCTCTTTATTGTTTTGAAACTTTGCATAAATTCCCGCTTTACGTTAAAATTTGCATGGCGCCCCCTTATACTTTAAAAAATATTGTATGAAATCCTCCGCCATACAAAAAATATAGATAAGAAATCTTCTCATCACAAAAGGGAGGTTTCATGGCGGTGGAGTCTCATGCAACGTTTTGCTACGCAGTTTTTAAAGTACAGGTAGATTTTGCTATGGACAAGTTTATCATTCCAACAGCTGGCAAGTTTATGCTACATTCGATGTGCCTTGGAGCATATGATTTTTTCGTGTAGATAGATGTAAATAAACGAGCCGGGCTTTTCTTGTTTATGCAGGATAAATGGAAGACGCTAGTCCACACGGCGAGCATATCTCCTCAGCAAAGAAGGGGCGAGCCGGTGCCGCAGGAACTCCTAAACAGAGTCCTATTTGCGCACTCGTATTGGTCGCAGCATCAGTCGAAACAACAGCAACAGCAACAAAACGGGAAGAATCAATCTGTCGAGCCTCAGAAAACAGGAGAGGCAGCGGGCGAGGCGGCCGCGGTCGTCGGCGCGTGAAGGTGCGGAGGAAATGGTGATTGTGATATAATACTTATTATGTATAAGGAAGGCATAGTGATATACATATATTATGCTGAATGTGTATTTAAGTTTGATTTGTATTATTGTAGCAATTCTTTGCTTTGCTTTGCTGCCCTGACTGTCTGTCACTAATTTGGTGTCTTTCTCTTCTCCTTTGGATACAATTTATGCTTTGAATTTCCCTCTTGTAAATGATTGTTGGGAATGAATAAATCCTCTTATGTATATCAATTGGTTGGACCTTTTTTTTATTTTTAATTTTTATTTTTATTTTTTTCTGATGATTGGTTTGATTGTGAGCACTTAACTTTGTATATTTATTGTGATAATTCTTCTTTCTTATCCACTTTGTTGCTGATCTACCAAACTCGGTAATGTACCATTGTTTAGGCTGGAGATTTTGGTAAGGGAAATGGTGCCAATTTTTAAATTCGGCATATAACCAAAAATTAATAATATATAATTATATTGATTATTTTAATTAATCATATAAATTAGGCTAATTAAAATTTAGTGATTCAACGTGTTCACCACCCTATCCCATCCCGAGATTTTGGCTATGTTCAGACAACACTTTTGGGGCTTTTAACACTATGGCAAATTATTTTTAAGTGTTCTTACAAGATTTTGGCAAAGCTATACAATTTATCAAATTTTTCTCTTTAAAAAAGATTAAATTAAATATTTTTTTTTTATTTTTATTTTTTATATTATACTTAAATTAATTTTATATTTAAAATATCACATCAATACAAAATACAAAGAGTGCGATTGTCCGGTTCAAATAAGATAAAAGAAGAAGGTTTGATCCAATAGAGGTAAATGAAGGAAGGCCCAAAAGGATCCTAAGAGGAGATAATACTTCATTATTCTTCAATTGGTGCATGAGACCAAAATCTTTGGGTGTGTTTCTTTATCTTAAAATTTTCAAATTTATTATTTGGATTATACATTTTTTTTTTAAAAAAAATTGTATATATATTTTTCTAATAAAATATCAAATCAAATATTATTTAAATACAAAACACAAACTAAATTTTTTTAAATCAAACTCAAAGAAACATACTGTATTCAAATCAATGAGATCGTCCCCCAAAATTGTAAGTTGTTCTTTTTTGGAAAGGTTGTTTAGTTATAATTAAAACATGCTCTAATGCTACAACAATTTTAATATTTAAAAAAGAAAACAAAAACAAACTCATTTATAATATTAAGCATATATAATTATGATTACCCGTAACTGTAAGTTTACCGTGTAAAATGTTGGGGTGCAAACCCAAATTCCACATTGGAAGTGGTGAAGAAAATTACACACCTTAATCTCAAGTAAACTCCACTAGTATGAGGCATTTGGAAGATATCAAAAAACAAATTCGTGTGGGCTCAGCCCAAAGCGGGCAATATCTGTTGAGTTGACCCAGTCCGGTTAGATGGTGAAGTGGACTGGGTGGCATTGGACATTGGTAGTGGTAGTGGGCTCGCCCTCGTGACCTGCAGATGAGCCTTGTGTCGAAAAGTCTCTTGGCGGTGTCGGATTGGTCTTTGTGATAGGCGGTACAAGGTGGGCAGAGGTCCATTGGTTGGTCCTTGATTTGAGGGAAGGATTGTTGGGGTGCAAACCCAAGTCCCACATTGAAGTGGTGAAAAAAGAAAATTACACACATTATAAGTCCCAATAAACTCCCTCATTTTGGAACATATCGAAAAACAAATCCGTGCGAGCTCAGCCCAAAGCGCAATACCCAGTCCCAACATAAAAGACAAAAGTATTTTAAAAAAGCCGGCTTCACAAAATCATCTATTGATAAGCCACCCACAACACGTTATTATGCATCAATTCATTTTCTCAATGGCTATTAAAAATTCTTCTATACCTTGTATTTCATTTGCTTCCATCGTCATATTAAGACATGTCTCGATCAATTTAGATTAACCTTTAAATCCGTTAGGAGAATATACCCGATCGATCTTAATATAGTTATTTTTTCAATGTAATTGTAGTTGTTCGCCTAGTGTGTCTTTCCCATCGGACCTGATTTGCAGGGTATTAGGTTCGGTCAGGGGTTTACCCAGTGCGCACTTTGGGTAGCGGCTGCGGGTTCCCACGTCATTAAAAAAAAAAAAAAAACATTATTTATCGTCGTAATAGACAATTTCTCAGATGATTTGCTAACAACTATTATCAAATCTTGCACATTATGCATTATATATTGATGCAATTTGTAATGTTCATATTCGGAGTGTTTGGTGGTTGCAAGATATTGCCATATTTAATGTAGATATATATACATAGGGGTGTCAATTCGTGTTTTTGGGTCGTGTTCGTGTCGGATTGAACCATGAAGATAACAAAAAAACTGTCGACCCGAACCCAACCCGAACCCGAAATCTAACCTGAAACCCTAGACCCGAACACGACACGAATTCTTTCGGGTCGGATTCAGGTTGACCTGAATTAGTTTCAGGTCACCCGAAATCCAAACAAACCCGACACGAAACAGACCCGAAAATTTAAAAAAAAATTAAATTGACCTAAAAATATCATTTTTATTTTTATTTTTATTTTTATATTATTTTATATTTAAAATAATATAAATATTATAAATTAAAATAATAATAATAAAAATTTCAGGTCAACCCGAAATACGAAACCCAAAACTTAACCTTATCTTGATATTTCAGGTTATCAGGTCAACCCGAAAACAACACGAATTTTTTTCGTTTCAGGTTCGGGTCGACCTGATTTTTTTCAAACCCGAAATACCCAAACCCGAACTTGAAAAATTTCAGGTCGAATGGGTTCGATTTTTCGGGTTGGGTTTACTTTTGACACCGTTATATATACATATATGTTTTCCCTTGTTGTTTCAATGTTGAGAATTCCTTTAGTGAAATTATGTTGTGGTATATCTATTATGGTATAATTTATTGTTACGTACATAAAGTAGTTTCATTTGTGACACTAAGGTGTGTTTGTTTGAAGGATTTTAGTGGACTTCTATTGTTCATTTTATTTTATTTTTTCAAAAAATATCAAATCAAATGTCTATTTTTAATTTTTTATATTATACTCTCTCCGTCTCATAATAAGGTATCCATTTACTTTTTGCGTCATTGTACTTTAACGTTAAAAATATCTTTATATTTGTATAATTTTTTATATAAATGTCATTATATTAGTATTATAAGACACTAATAATATTTTTGCAATTTTTCCTTGATTTGTAATACGTTTTGATATAATAATTAATATCCAAAGATCAACAAGCAAAAAGTAAATGGATACTTAGTTATGGGACACGGAATACTAAAAATCAATTTTACATTCAAAACATCACATCAACGCCTATTTATATCACATCATACAACTATTCGAATTCTAAATTTTTATTATTCAAATTCCAACTCAAAATCCAAATACCCAAACAAACACACCCTAAGAGTACTTCTGGGCCCAGGCAAGAGCCATTTTGAAAGATATTAAAAGGTGATTTAGTAATGTGAGAAATGATCGAAGAGTTATGAGTTTAATATAAAATTAATATTGATACTATTATTTATATTTTTGTATTTAAACTAATAATCAGGGCCGTCTCGAATTTTTTTTGGAGCCTTGAGCGAAAATAAATTATAGGTCATATAAATACATGATTAAAATATATTTTCAAAATGATATCACAACGAGACTAGAGGTTGAATATGACCGTTTGGACAATATCAATTTTTTAAAAAAAAATGAAAGACATCTGTCCGGAAGTTCGAAAAACGAGAAGGACCGAAGGAGGTGAAAGAGATAAGAGAGAAGGACAGGCATGTTTGGTCTGAGTTGGTGGGCGCAATGCGCAGTATGAGGTAAAAAAAATATAAACGACGATTAAATTTGGAAAGATAGGGTGAAACGTGGTTAAAAAGAAACGGATAGAAAAAAAAATATCATTAGAGTTTAAAATTAAATAGGATAATTATATATATATATATGTAAAAACTAAATGTTAAAATTTAATTTTAAAATTTAATAATAATTTTAAATATGAGTCTTCTATTAATTAAGAGAGTTTATGACGTGGGAACTCGCAGCCACTATCCGAAAATGCGCACTAGGTAAACCCATGACCTACACCATTAGGTCATTCCTTAGGGGACTTTCTCGATTCACTTTTGATTATACATTTTATACATAAAATAAAGAATATTTAATTTATTCAATATTTTCAATATCTTCTGTTACGTAAGATGAGTCTTTATACAATTATTTTTAATGATTTTATCAAAAGATAAACTTATGCAATAAAATTCCCAAACAATTTACTACCTATATAGGCTGCATGTAGTGAGCCTAAAAATTTATAGCTGCATAACCCCCTGTCCTAGGTTGACCACTCACAATTAAAGGTTTGTTATTTTGTAACTTTAAAATAAAATCAATACTATATATTATACCATAATTTTTGTTAAAAATATACTTCCTCTGTCTTGCATTAATAACAGATACATTTTTTTATTTTCATTCGTCCTACATTAACATATAGATTTTATTTTTTAATAACTGTGAATCTCATTTTTTACAAATATTTTTATTTTACCATAACATTTTTATTTTAAATTAAAAAGTAACGTTTAAAATAGTCTTTCTATTACTTTTAACTACTCAATATAATCAAAATATTATTATTTTTTAAATTATGCGCCAAAATTAAAGTAAATATATATCTTACACCAGGATGGAGAGGGTATTATTTCTTTTTTACAAAAAATCAAAATACTATTTATATAGAAACTTGAATCAAAATCACATTTCATATCAATTTTAAATTACAATCAAACAAAATATGAGAACCAATAATAATATTGAAATATATAGAAAGAGAGATTCTATCAAAAATTTTGAAAATTGATGAATAGTTTGAAATCAATTAATACTAAATTAAGAAGGTGTATTCAATTAGAATTTTCTTAAACTTTAAAACATTTGTGTATTTGTATAGATTTGGAAAATTTATAAATTCCATGCAGAGTTTGACGTTTGACTGATTTTGTTTATTGATTTAGATGAATTTTTATAAATTTGATTAAATTATTTATTGATTTATATGAACTTTATAGAATTGATATAATTGTACAATAATTTTTTCTCATTGATTTATATAAATTCATATAGAAAATAATTCAATTTATTTAACATAAATACCCCAAAAACATCATTTCTCACATTGCAGTAGCAATAC